GACAATTTGGAGAGTAGGCTAGTGCTACTTATGTTATGCTTATAAGGTTATGCTTATAAGGGCCAGATCTCATTTTTTTTTAAAAGGCCTGAAAGCAAACTTTCAAAACAAAATCATACTCTGGCAGCTGCAGAAGAGTGGGTGGGCAGCACAGGGATTATATAGGTAGTCTTTGACTTACGACCACAATTGAGCCCCGAAGTCAGTGGTGGGATTCAGCCGGTTTGGGTTGGTTCAGGCCGGTTCGGGCCAACTGGTAGTTAAATTGCTAGCTGGCCTCGCCCCGCCCATTCCAGGAATTCCCACGCGCCCCATTTTGGCTCCCAGGTAAGTGCAAGGAGGCCTCCTAGGTCCAAAATGGGGTGTGGTATGTGGAGTGCCCCCCCCCAGGAGGCTGCAGGGAGGCCTCCTAGGCCCAAAATGGGGCACGGGGGTGGTGCAGCCCCCCCACAGCCCATTTTTGCTCCCATGGGGGCGGCAGGAAGCCGACTCCTGCCTGTCACACCCCCTGGCCACGCCCACTCTGGCCACCCCCACCCACCCTGTCATTAGGGCAGAGAACCAGTTGTTAAATTCTTTGAATCCCACCACTGCCCGAAGTTGCTAAGTGAGACATTTGTTCTGTGAGTTTTGCCCCCATTTTACGAACCTTTCTGGCCACAGCTGTTAAGTAAATTCCTGGAGTTGTTAACTTAGTAACACGGTTGTTAAGTGAATTTGGCTTCCCCATTGACTTTGTGTGTTGGAAGGTCACAAAAGATGGACACTGAAACCCTCAAAAATATGAGCCAATTTTGATCACGTGACCACAGAGATGCTGCAATGATCATGTGAAAAACGGTTGTCCCTTTTTTTCAGTGTCGGCGTAATTTCAAAGAGTCGCTAAGTGGACTGTTGTAAGCTGAGGACTACCTGTACCAGTGGTGGGTTTCAAAAATTTTTACTACCGGTTCTGTGGGCATGGCTTGGTGGGCGTGGCATGGTGGGCGTGGCATGGGAAGAATACTGTAAAATCTCCACTCCCACCCCACTCCAAGGGAAGGATACTGTAAAGTCTCCATTCCCTCCCCACTCCAAAGGGGACTGCAAAATCCCCATTTCCTCCCGATCAACTGGGACTTGGGAGGCAGAGAATAGATGGGGGCGGGGCCAGTCAGAATTTTTACTACCGGTTCTCCGAACTACTCAAAATTTCCGCTACCGGTTCTCCAGAACTGGTCAGAACCTGCTGAAACCCACCTCTGACCTGTACCAATAGTCCCTGACTTGTGACTGCAATTTCAGTCATATGATATCACAGTCATTAAGGTCCCTGAGTTATTTTCCAGATTGGCAAACAAAAAAGGCTATTTTGGGGGGGGGGCATTTTTCTTGACAGACAGAAAAATACCAAATTACAGGGTTTCAATTTTTTTCTGATCTGTTCTGGCAGCCATTCAGAGTTCAAGCAAACTAGAGTTCACCCAATTCACATTGTATCTTACCTTTACTTGTGAGTGGGAGAAATATCTTATCAAGGAGTGATCCAACCTAGGCTAAGGAAAATTTTTAGAACAGATTTTTTTATGGGCCAAGTGTGATTGGACGCACAAGGAATTTGCCTTGGTTCATACGCTCTCAGTATATATAAAAGAAAAGATACGTTCATCAAGAATCATAAGGTACAACACTTAATGATAGACCTAGGGTACCAAATAAGCAATCAAATCATATTAGGAAACCGTTTTACAATCTTTTTGGACTGTTGCCTTCTGGCAGAAGATACAGAACAATTAAAACTTGGACCACACATTTTCTGAATAGTTTTTATCCCAGAGCTATAATTGCACTCCACAATGAACTAAAGGGCCACCATCAGTGAGCTGTTGGACAGCATTATTTGGTCTGTTGTGCGGATGTTTGGATGGTTTAGAGGTGGGGAATTTTTGGTGGTGGGGAGTGTGTTTGAGGATTGTTATGTGTATTGGATCTGGTCTTTGGGTGTTAAGTGAATTTTGTTGTATGGGTATACTGTGTATACATGTACAATGACAAGAAAGTTGTTATTATTATTATTATTATTATTATTATTATTATTATTATTTAATCTTTGGTGAGATTCACAGCCTTTGAGGCTGGTTAATAGCTCAGCAGCTCGAGTCCTAACCAAGGACCTAGGAACTGTTAAGGTATCGTCGGAGGATGTAAGCTGTTCCGAGTAAGGTGGTTTTTTATAGAGTCAAAATGTTCAAGTCCGGCAAATTTAGAATTTCTAAATAGCGGGGTAGTCCTTTGGGTATTGCTCCAAGGCCTCCAGTTACAATCGGGACAACACACGATTTCTTTTTCCACAGTCGCTCAACTTCAATTTGCAAATCCCGGTACTTTGTGATTTTTTCTTGCTGCTTATCTTCAATCCGTGCATCACCAGGTATTGCAATGTCAATGAACCATACTTTTTTCTTTTCAACTATTGTTATGTCAGCTCAGAGTGTACCAAGGACCCCACAGTTTTCTGGCCAGATCTGGTGGACTTAATGACTTAAGTGAGTTTTGCACCATTTTACAATCTTTCTTGCCACAGTTGTTAAGTGAAATCATTGCAGTGATTAGAAGCACGTTTTCCTCCTCCTCTTCCTCCTCTTCCTCCTCCTCCTCCTCCTCCTCCTCCTCCTCCTCCTCCTTTCCACAAACTCCATTCCCTTTTTAACACTGGTGATCTTACCTAGTTTTGGGTCGTGAAACGCCTGCAAGAAAACGACCAAGCTCAGAGAGCACCAAGGAGCCCTCATTTTAACCTTGAGCTACAGACCTAGTATACCCACTAATTAAGCTGAAAAAAACTGTAAGCTCCGTGAACCTTTTTTGGCTACTGTGGTAAAGTAGCACAAATCTCTTAAATACAAAATTAGGCAGAAGCTAACCTCTCTCCTGCTTCCCACAGTGCAGCAGCTTAATTCTCTTTTGAACTTCACCTGCGCCCACAGGGAAACGCATCTCCCTTGTGGTGTGCCCAAAGAACGGAATAACACTATGAAGACTGTCAACCTAAAGGGAAGGAATCGAGTGAATCAGCAGGTAACTATCAAGCATTTTTATGGGCTGGACTTGAATAAAGATAAGACAGTCTGGCTGAATCTCTTACGGAGTCTTCCTTTTCTCTCTCTCTCTCTCTCTTTCTCTCTCAGCCCCATCCTCTCAGCTCCATGGGTGCAGAAAGAGAGCAATTTAGAAAGGTAGAGAATCACTTTATATACAGTTCAAATATATTAAGTTTGGAATGTGTCCTTTCATGGGTTAACTTCATTTGACTGATCTGTGATGTCTGCATGCTCAATATCTTTATATGTAACATGTAAATTTCGTAGCATCTCAAAAGACCAATAGTCCTCAACTTACAACAGTTCACTTAGTGTAAAGGTAAGTAGAGCCCACCCCTGCTTCAGTGGTACATATATTTCCTGGATCTATTGATTTATCGATATAGAGATAGATAGGTAGATAGATAGATAGATAGATAGATAGATAGATAGATAGATAGATAGATAGATAGATAGATAGATAGAGATATTCGGTAATTTTTAGGTTTTGTAAATTATATTTCCCTTCTATAAATTAATTCATACTATTGTGTTAGTATAAATATCTTAGTGTTTAAAATGAACTTTCCCATTTGTTTAAGTGTGTCTGTACAGCATTTCAGGCTTTATTGCAGGATTGTTCTTGTTCATTTGCTGCTGAAAACATTGAAGAGGAAAGTTGCCTCAGTTTGGAACAAGAGTTTTCTTCTAGTGTCTTCTTCTTCTCCTCCTTCCCTTTCCTCTACAACCTGCATGACGAAAAACAATAAGACACATTTTTTTTTTGTTAATCCTATTACTCTTTCTCTACTAATTAGACGTTGTCCCTCCTGAAAAGAAAAAAAAAAAGAGATCAAAATTATGTTTCAAGGGCCAAATTAATAGCCAGATGCCCAGGAAAAGGAATCAGGTTTCAAGAATTGATATCTTTATATATCGCAGTGATGGAGAACCTTTTCGGCACCGAGTGCCGAAAAAGTCGCGCGGAAATTTATTTATTTATTTATTTATTTATTTATTTATTTATTTATTTATTTAGGTAGGTAGATAGATAGATAGATAAGGATGGAGATGATAGGTAGGTAGGTAGGTAGGTAGGTAGGTAGGTAGGTAGGTAGGTAGGTAGTAGTAGATAGATAGATAGATAGATAGATAGATAGATAGATAGATAGATAGATAGATAGATAGATAGATAATGGATGGAATGATAGGTAGGTAGGTAGGTAGATAGATAGATAGACAGACAGACAGACAGACAGACAGACAGATAGATAGATAGACAGACAGACAGATAATGGATGGAGATGATAGGTAGGTAGGTAGGTAGGTAGGTAGGTAGGTAGGTAGATAGATAGATAGATAGATAGATAGATAGATAGATAGATAGATAGACAGACAGACAGACAGATAGATAGACAGACAGACAGATAATGGATGGAGATGATAGGTAGGTAGGTAGGGTAGGTAGGTAGGTAGGTAGGTAGGTAGGTAGATAGATAGATAGATAGATAGATAGATAGATAGATAGATAGATAGATAGATAGATAGATATAGATAGATAATGGATGGAGATGATAGGTAGGTAGGTAGGTAGGTAGGTAGGTAGGTAGGTAGGTAGGTAGATAGATAGATAGATAGATAGATAGATAGATAGATAGATAGATAGATAGATTAGATAGATAATGGATGGAGATGATAGGTAGGTAGGTAGGTAGGTAGGTAGGTGGGTGGGTGGGTGGGTTGGTGGGTGGGTAGTAGATAGATAGATAGATAGATAGATAGATAGATAGATAGATAGATAGATAGATAGATAGATAGATAGAGATATTCGGTAATTTTTAGGTTTTGTAAATTATATTTCCCTTCTATAAATTAATTCATACTATTGTGTTAGTATAAATATCTTAGTGTTTAAAATGAACTTTCCCATTTGTTTAAGTGTGTCTGTACAGCATTTCAGGCTTTATTGCAGGATTGTTCTTGTTCATTTGCTGCTGAAAACATTGAAGAGGAAAGTTGCCTCAGTTTGGAACAAGAGTTTTCTTCTAGTGTCTTCTTCTTCTCCTCCTTCCCTTTCCTCTACAACCTGCATGACGAAAAACAATAAGACACATTTTTTTTTTGTTAATCCTATTACTCTTTCTCTACTAATTAGACGTTGTCCCTCCTGAAAAGAAAAAAAAAAGAGATCAAAAATTATGTTTCAAGGGCCAAATTAATAGCCAGATGCCCAGGAAAAGGAATCAGGTTTCAAGAATTGATATCTTTATATATCGCAGATTTATTTATTTATTTATTTATTTATTTATTTATTTATTTATTTATTTATTTATTTATTTATTTATTTATTTATATGCCGCCCTTCTCCGGAGACTCAGGGTGGCTTACAATGCATGAAGCAATAGCCTTCATACTTTTGTATATACCTGCTTAGTAGGGCTTTTGGCCCCCCCAAGCGGTGTTCTTTTTTTTATATACAAAGTCAGCATATTGCCCCCACAATCCAGGTCCTCATTTTACCTATCTCGGAAGGCTGAGTCAACCTTGAGCCTGGTGAGATTTGAACTCGCAGTAATTGCAGGCAGCTGGCAGCTAAGTGCTACTTAACAGCTTAGGCACGCTCGTCGGGGCCGCACTCTGGAAAAGCCGAACTTCTGGGTTCTAGCGTGCATGCGTGCCCGACGATCAGCTGGCTGGCGCACATGCGCAGGCTGGTTTTCAGCACTGCTAATCTGGAAAAGCCAAACTTCCAGGTTCTGGTGCACATGTGGACAGGTGGTGGGTTTCAAAATTTTTTACTACTGGTTCTGTGGGCGTTGCTTGGTGGGCGTGTCATGGCTTAGTGATGGATTGGTGGGCGTGTCATGGATTGATGGGCATGGCTTGGTAGGCGTGGCAGGGGAAGGATACTGTAAAATCTCCATTCCCTCCCCACTCCAGGGAAAGGTTACTGCAAAATCCCCATTTCTTCACAATCAGCTGGAGGCAGAGAATAGATGGGGGCGGGGCCAGTCAGAGATGGCATTTACTGGTTCTCCGAACTACTCAAAATTTCCACTACCGGTCCTCCAGAACAGTTCAGACCCTGCTGAAACCCATCTCTGATGCACACCCAACAATCAGCTGGCTGGCACGCATGTGCACGCCGGGTTTTCGACACTGCTGTGCGCGCGAAGGACAGCTGATCATTGCACACGCATGCTGCCAGAAATCTGGCAGACAAACAGGCAAGGTCGCGTGTGCCGGGCGACATGGCTTCCCTTGCCACTTTTGGGCACAGGTACCATAGGTTCGCCATCACGGATATATCGAGTCCAATCTGCACAGGTAAAATTTGTTTATAAAAATTGACCTCTTGGTTTCCAGGGTTCTTGGGAGACTCCACAACAGATGAAGCTACATAAATGAAAATGGGAGCTGTATGTTCTTGGTAGTACAAAAAAATTGGTGTTTTTTTTAACCTAGGGTTAAAGGCGGGACTAGAACTCACCTGGTGATTAGCCCAAAGTCACCTAGCTGGCTTTCGTCCTTAAAGTGGGACTAGAACTCACCGTCTCCTGGCCCAAAGTCACCCAGCTGACTTTCATGCTTAAGGCACAACTAGAACTCATAGTCTCCTGGTGATTGGCCCAAAGTCACCTAGCCGGCTTTCATGCTCAAGGCGGAACTAGAACTCACAGTCTCCTAGTAATTGACCCAAAGTCCCTCAGCTGGCTTTTATGTCCAAGTAGGACTAGAACTGCCAGCCACCTCACTCTTCAAAGCAAGTAAAAAAAAATCACTATTCATGCAGGCTGGATGTGGATGTGCCTTTCTATTGTATCATTTGCCTTCTCCAGATCTTTTTCCTCTTTAACGAATGGATACTCATTGCTGAGGACTTAATTTGAGAAGGGCTCTGGGTTGTAGACCCATTCAGACAGTCCATTCCAAAGACATATCTCCTTCGCTCCAGAAGGCCGAAAGAGAAATCTCCCATAACCTACCTCTCCTCTTACGGCCTCCTTTCCCCCTTCTCCTGCCCTTGCCCCGCCGTCCAGAGCCCCCACCACGGGGTCTGCGTTTCCTCATCCAACGACAGTTTCTACTGCTGCTTCTGCTGTGGTGGAATCGTGCCATGATGTGGTCTAGGCATTCAAGCCGTGGGAGAGGAGTGGGAGCATCCAAAAGGTTGAAGCAGTCTTGACTTCTTTAAGGGACCAGGCTGACTCCCAGCCTCTTTATGGGCAAGCTGTGCATTGTGATGCAGGACAACAACACAAGAGGTTTCTATGGAAACACCAGCTCAGATACTATGGTGTCCTGTAATGGGCTTAACCCTCTAAATCAGGGGTGTCCAACCTTGGCAACTTTAAGACCTGTGGACTTCAACTTCCCAGAATTCCCCAGCCCGCGGTGGTTGGAGTGCAGTACTGCAGGCTACTTCTGCTGACTGCCAGCTGCCTGCAATTTGGAAGTTCAAATCTCACCAGCCTCAAGGTTGACTCAGCCTCCCATCCTTCCAAGGTGGGTCAAATGAGGACGCAAATTGTTGGGGGCCATAGGCTGACTCTGTAAACCGCTTAGAGAGGGCTGTAAAAGCACTGTGAAGTAGTATATAAGTCTAAGCGCTATTGCTATTTTGCACTTGCTTTGCTGGCTGGGGAATTAACAAAATAACCCAGTTGGAAGGGTCCTTGAAGGTCTTCCAACCCAATCCCCTCTCCAGCAGGAAACCCTATACCCATGATGGCGAACCTATGGCACGCATGCCACAGGTGGCACATGGAGCCATGTTGCCTGGCACGCCAGCTCAGCTCTAGCGCACATGCGCGCGCTGGCCAGCTGATTTTTGGGCCTTCTGGGCCCACCAGAAGTAGGGAAACAGGCTGTTTCCTGCCTCTGGAAGGCCTGGGGGTGTGTGTGGAGAAGGTCCGTTTTTCTTTTTCACCTGGCTCCAATTCCTCTCTATGCATCTGGGGAGGGCAAAAACTGCCTTCCCCGCCCCCTCAGAGGCCCTCCGGAAGCCTGAAACAGCCCGTTTCCCAACTTCCGGTTGGACAGAAAGTGACATTTTTTGCTGTCCCCAGCCTCCAGAGCGTCTCTAGGCGTCTCTGGAGGCTGGGGAGAGCAAAAACGTCACTTCCTGTCCTACAGGAAGTTGGGAAACAGGCCGTTTCAGGCCTCCGGAGGGCCTCCAAGGGGCTGGGGAAGGCTGTTTTCGCCCTCCCCAGATGCATAGTGGATCTGGAGCCAGGTGAGAAAGAAAAACGGGCCTATCAGGTCATCACGTGCCAGGAGCAGGGGGGAGGTGAGGTCACATGCACATGCATGGGGCGGGGTGCCTAGAATTATGGGTGTGGGCACGCACATGCGCGAACCTCCCCCGCCTCCCCCCTTTCCTGGCACGTGATGGCAAAAAGGTTAGCCATCACTGCCCTATACCATTTCAGACAAATGGCTGTGCAGTCTCTTCTTAAAAGCCTCACAACTTCTGGAGGCAAGCCATTTCACTGATTAATTGTTCTCACTATCAGGGAATTTCTCCTTAATTCTAGCTTGCTTCTCTCCTTGATTAGCTTCCATCTGTTGTGTCTTGTTCTACCTGCTGGTGCTTTGGAGAATAGGTCAACCCCTTCCTTTTTGTGGCGGCCCCTCAAATATTGGAACACTGCTATCATATCACCCCTAGTTCTTCTCTCTATTAAACTAGACACACCGAATTCCTGCAACTGTTCTTCATATGTTTGGGCCTCCAGTCCTCTAACTACCTTTGTTGATGTTCTCTGCGCTCTTTCCAGAATCTCAACGTCTTTTTTATATTGTGGTGACCAAAACTGGATGCAGTGTGGCCTTACCAAGCATTATAAAGTGGTACTAGCACTTCATGTTAATGTGAATGATATGAACACTGAAGGGCCCTCCTTATTCACATTATTGTAAGAAAAAAATGTGCTGGTTGGGAAGAACAATACTTGTTTGGAAAATTACACTAAGTCAGCTAAATTACATCCTGGGTAATATATATATATATATATTTTCTGAAGGGGCCTAGTTGTCAAAGATGTAAGGACATCCATATGGAACAAGAAGTTACTTTTTATCAAAGGAAGCCATAAATCTACGCATCAGCGGATACAGAACTAAGGAGGATGTTTAGCTAAAATTATCTCATGTAGTATAAATTAAGGCAGGAATTTAGTAATTAAAAAGTGTCAATTATCATGTAACGGATGTATGTTGACCATATATGGAAAACTGATGTGGCAGCAGAATTCTTTGTCTTGGATATGTATAAAAGCAGTTATATCAGGGCTCTTTCCTTTGTTCAGATAGCAAGAACCAATCTGCCTCTGAACCTTGCGCAATAAAAACTGTCTCTGGCTGACCCAGGAATGTTGTTTGGTCCCATCATTATACAACAATATAATCTTGATTCTATCTCACTCTGTTAATGCAGCCTAGGATTGTATGGGTTTCTTTGGCTGCAATTCTGGGAGTTGAAGTCCACAGGCCTTAAAGTTGCCAAGGTTCGGATACCTCTGTTCAGCAGCATCAAAAATGCCTTGAAAAGCCAAACATTTCTGAGTGATTAATTCAACTCTTAGTTGGCTAAATTGCCACTTTTCTTCTCTCCCTGATGCTCTCGCTCAGGGGTGTCAAACTCAAGATCCGCCCCATGGGGTGCTTAGATCTGACCCATGAGGCCGTCCTGGAAACAGCAAAGGACTGGCCCACAGTGCTAGTGAAAACTGAGCTCACAAGGGCTGGGTGTGGCCCTCCCGAGCTCTGTTTTCACTGGCAGGCGATTGCAGGACACCGTTGCAGCCGAAAATGGAGCCCTTGAGGGCCGCAGGCTGCCCTCCCAAGTTCTGTTTTCAGTGGCAGAGGACTGCAGGACACTGTCACAGCCAAAAACGGAGCTCACGAGGGCCGCGGGCAGCCCGCCCGAGCTCCGTTTTCACTGGCAGAGGGATTCAGGACACCGTCGCAGCCAAAAACGGAGCTTGTGAGGGCCGCAGGCAGTCCTCCCGACCTCCGTTTTCACTGGCAGAGGGCTGCAGGACATTGTTGCAGCCAAAAACTGAGCTCATGAGGGCCGCTGGCAGCCCTCCCAAGCTCCGTTTATGCTGGCAGAGGGTTGCAAAAGGCCATCACAGCCAAAAATGGAGCTTGCGAGGGCCACGGGCAGCCCCCCCAAGCTCTGTTTTCACTGGCAAAGGGTTGCAGGAGGTCGTTACAGCTGAAAATGGAGCTTGCGAGGGCCACGGGCAGCCCCCCTAAGCTCTGTTTTCACTGGCAGAAGGTTGCAGGAGGTGGTTACAGCCGAAAACAGAGCTCAGGAGTCCGTTTTCGCTGGCAGAGCGCTCGGGCTGCCACGGGCGTCCCCAACACAAGTGATGTCAAGCTGGCCACACCCACCCTGGCCACGCCCACCCCACCTCCCACCCCAAGGTCAAACCCAACCCTGATGCGCCTCTCAATGAAATCAAGTTTGACACCCCTGCTCTAGCTCCTTAATAAAATTCATCCAGAAAACTCTAAGCCTGCCCTTTGGAAATGCCACAAACTCTTGCTGGAGAAGCATCTGAAATCCTTTCCAAGCGCTGCGGTAGTTTGGAAGAAAATTGTATCCCCAATGAGGTGAGTAATCAGGAAAAGCAGGCAAGCTATCGTTTTTCAAGTTTTTATTTCCCTTTCCACAATCTGGAGGAAAGATTTAAATCCAAGCCAAACTAATCCTCCTAAAAAATGAAAGAAGTGAAAACGAAGCTCTCTTAATCGTCAGGAGACTGCCTATCCCGCGGGGTGGCTAATTCAATCTGCAGAGGATTTTCATCGCTCACTCTTTCATCTTCGTATCTGGACCTTTGAGGAAAATGTCAAATTAGAAATGCAAACTGGAAAGCAAATGAAGTATCGTAATTGGATGAGTGTGCATTGCTCCCTTAAGGAAGGAAGAAACAAAAAAAGTCTTAATACCATTAAGTTAATAAATTTAAGCGGAATTATTTACTCACGGAATATTAAAAATGGGGGGGAAGGGGGCACTGTTGTTGCCGGATGGGAAAGTAGCAGAACTTAGTACATCTGCATTTGGGTTCAAACTGTAATCATTCGTTGGTATTTAAACACTATATCAATTTAATAATTTAATACAGAGTAGGTTTTTCTCATTATGCCGTGTCGTAGCCCTGACAGATGGGATGGTGCTCCTGTATTGAAAATCAGATCAAGGAAAGGCTGATTTGATTGCCTAAATATTGTGCCATGTGTATTAGTGGATATGTAACCTCAGCACATATGTTTATGCATATTCATGCACACATACCTCTAAAGCAGAAGTTGGCAGCCTTCTGAAGTCCTGAGCAATGTGACACCAAACTGCCTGACATCTTAAGATTTTATCAATAAACTTTATGATTATATACAAAAATCTCATGCAATACAAAGAGAGAGAGAGAGAGAAAGAAAGAGAAAGAGGGAGAAAGAGAGAGGGAGGGAGGGAGGGAGAGAGAGAGTGTGTATGTGTATGTGTGTATATGTGTGTGTGTGTGTGTGTGTGTGTGTGTGTGTGTGTGTGTGTGTGTGTGTCTTTGGTTATTCGGGTTTTCTCCCGCGTAAAATTGGAGGTGTCTTGGCAACGTTTCGACGAAGTCTCATTCGTCAGGCTGGTGTTTTCGGCTTCGTGCTTCTAGGAGCCTGAAGATGACGAGTGAGACTTCGTCGAAAAGTTGCCAAGACACCTCCAATTTTACGCGGGAGAAAACCCGAATAACCAAAGACCTACATACAAACACCCGCGAAAACCTCAGAAAACAAATATATATATATGTCATTACAGTCAAGAACCAAAGCTTCAGAAATCATCATAGTGTCAGGGAACTAATTTTAAGTAGGTAATGGGTCTTTATTTGCATGTGCCAGATGTCCTGAAGCTGCTTTGCATACCTGCATAATGAGCTGAACTTTGACTGATAATGAGGTTATCTAGTTTGATGTTGTTTGCATAATGAAACCTCTGCAAGAAAACAACTGACCTCAGAGGGCACCAAGGACCTCACAGTTCAACCCTGAGCTACAAATATTCTCCTTTATTGAATCAATATATCTTACACCCGGATGATAGGTAGATAGGTGGGAAGGTAGGTATAGGTAGATGATAGATGATAGATAGATAGATAGATAGATAGATAGATAGATAGATAGATAGATGATAGATAGATAGATAGATAGATAG